CTTTAGCGATTCCCTCAAACACCGACTGGAACCTCTTCTTCAGCCTGGATTTAAGTTTAGGTTGACTAAATGGGGCAAAAAGCTCTGAAAGATGAAAGGAAATCTTCAGTACTGAAACTATTCCTATGAATGGATCATGTATTCCTCCTACTCTTCTGACTGGAATAAATTGACAATTTATCCATCAGTTTAAATCTGTATAGAAATCCTCTTACTGCTCTGCAGATGTTCAGCCAGCTTCTCCTGCTTCATTCTCCACAGGAAGTTTAGGGTGATCTTCACCAAAGCTTCCCTGCTGCTCCTCTTCTGTTCTTCATCCTCGACTTCCAACACCTCCTCATCCTCCCACACAATCTTTGAGCCTTCTGGATCAGCTGGACTCAGAACCTTCTGGATTTTCTTCAGCTCATTTTTCACGAAACTAACAATGTTTTCTTCTAGCAGCTGAACAGAACAATAAATAAAGGACACATCAGACTGAGATAATGGAGACAAACTGATCTAATTTGGACAGAATGATTGTCCTTTGGTGTACAAAGTACAGCATGGAGATGACTTTCAACAGAACCTATTGAGAAATAGTTGTAGTACATGTACAAACCATAAATATGGAGTCCAGCTGGGTTTGATGCTGCTGGGCAGATGGACCACTGGGAAGCACAGAGTTCTGCTGGTCCACTCTGTGGAGGAACCAGGAAGCATTAACTCACATTCTGTAGAACAACAAACAGGCAAAGACCAAGGTACTTGTGGTGTCCTGCTCTTAAAGCTACAAAATGGGGAGGACTGTCACCTGAGAGGAAGCTCCTACCTGAGAAGAGTTTGAGATGCCATGTAACTTTATGAAAAAAAAATGGCTGAACCCTTAGACCTCTACAGTTTCAATTGTTTCATTTGCTGAGAAATTTGAAACTGAACATCCAGAAAAACATGAAGCTGATTGTTCACCAGAGATTCAGTTGTGGACATTTCGATTTCTTCAAATCATTATATTGTATTACTGAATGTACATTAGTTTGGTAGATGTTCATTTGTTAGATTAATGAAGTCATTTGTTCAAACATTTGTTGTGTTTTTATTATGGTTTCAGGTTATTTCTACATTATTATTATTATTATTATTATTATTATTATTATTATTATTATTATTATTATTATTATTATTATTATTCCAGCTAACCAAAATAATCTCACTGTGACACTGCGTGTCATTGTGCAGCAAGATGTATCTTAAACGAAACTGTGTTGCAGTTTGTTAGAAAACCTCCCCTAACCCTACTGATTAATCAGTAAATCTAATCCTAGTCTGTGATCAGATGCTGTAGCTGCTCTGTTTCAATGACTGACAGGAAACTGGAGACAATTATTCAACCAATAACTGATTAGTTCCTGAAAATATTTCAGAGCAGCAGCCTGTGTGAGAACAATAAAGTCAAGTTAATCCGACAGAACAAAGTCCAAATGAAGGTTAGAGCTTTACATCCTGTGATGAATCTATTTGCTTCATGATAAACATGGTCCAACATCTGCAGAGAACCAGGAGGAGGAATCATGGACAGAAATAATGTTGGTGTTCAGTAAGGAGGTGACTGGAACAATACATCAGTTTACTTTAAATGAATGAATAAATAGGAATTTATTTCAGACAATTTGAATAATTGAATCAACCAGATACACACAAAAAGAGACTAGTTAACCAAACCAAACAACAATTTCCAAACTAACAAAATTCACCTGAACATAAATAGAAACAAAACATTCCCCCAAATAAACCTCTTGGTATATGAATGGAAAACAAGTTTGATTTCTATACTTGGAAAAAGAAAACTTCATATTTTAGTTTCAAGCAAAGGTAAATTAATTAAAAAGAAAATTGAATGCATGTAAGAGATGTTTAGATATTTTTCCACATGTGAGATATTTTGTTTTTGATTCCTATATTCATCACCAGTAAAAACCTGCCTTAAACATTTGCATTTGCATATTTCTATCCACAGTGTCACAGTCAAACCTTCAAGTAAAAAGTTATCAAATGAAAGGGTTGGATGTTGATTTGGTCATTTATCTCAGAATATTTTCCTCTTTAATTCTTTCTCTTAATATAATCTCTTAATAATAACATATGAATTCAAACTTAGAAAGAAAAAACATCATAAGCACAAATTCAGCAACAAAATGATCCACTAGACTCTGAACTGGCAAAAAGTTTTTCTGTCACTGATTATTGCTGTGAAAGTCAGATTCAGGAGTTTGTCCTGCAACCGAAGGGTTGTCAGTTCAAGCCCAAACTTTGCCTTTTAGTGTCATTGTATGCTTGGATAAGACACTTCACCCACATTGCCTACATCTGGTGGTCACATGACGCAATTTTACGGCAGCTGTGGCTGCAATGTAGCTAACCACTAGTAGAGTGTGTGTGTGTGTGTGTGTGTGTGTGTGTGTGTGTGTGTGTGTGTGTGTGTGTGTGTGTGTGTGAGAATGGGTGAATGACTGGGTGTAGTGGAAAGTGCTTTATTAAAAAACGTGCTATATAAGCACAGGCAGGTTAAGATGTTTCAACTGAATTATGGCTTTAGCTGAATTCAGCTTGACTCCTTCTGCACAAACAGGTGAACCAAAGACACAAACAAACAGCTTCATTAGTAGAAATAAAATATGGAATAAAACTTTAAAAATGAGTCAGTTAAGTTTCATCTGGTTACAGTCTTTAGCAAAGCTCACCTCTTTGCAGCTGAAGGTTGGTCTGATTTAAAATCAGTATAGAGACCTTTTGATATGTTGCTTTTTAAAGACACACGGCTGGGTTCTGGTTTGAGGTTCTGTCGCATCCTGAAGAAAAAAATACCTGAATTCATTCTCGGTCTAATAATGTATTTAAAGTTAAACAGTGAAGCCCATAACTCTAAAATGCCCCACAGTGTGTCTAATTCACTGTAAACCGTACATCAATGAAAGATTAGTAATTAGCCCTGATGATAATTAATAAGGGATGAGCTTTGGGATTCTAGTCTTAAACTGATGATTAAAGACCTTTAGAGCAGCAGCCTTATTCTCAGCTGATCATTTCTGAGCTTTGTATTGCAATACAGTCCATGGTGGTGAATTCAAAGACCTTTCATAGTAATCCACATTAAATTTCCCACAAAGATTCCTTTTGTTATCATCAAACTTTCTCCCAGCAGAAGGTCAACGATCTTGTATTTCTGATGACATGTAGCGGCTTCTGAAGGAGACTGTGGAGCAGTTTGCTAATGATCAGACTGATGATCATTTTGAATGATCACAGATGAACTGCTTACTTCACTGATGTTTGCAGATAACAGTGAGAGATCATGTTTTCCATCAGATTTAGTTTGGATGATTTAGTTTCCATCTAATGGTTGAATCAGCATCATGACTTGCCTACATGTGCATCACCTTAAGCTCTGCAGAAGCACCAACTCTGGTTCACTAATGTGACACAAGGTGATCCAGAAAGATTCAACTGAATTTAAGTCCGATATCATCTCACAAGATAATTTCATATCATCACAAAACAATCTTTTGATTATTTCCATTATTATCCTCCATCACTCACTGCTTCACATTTGAACAAACATGTGAGAGAAAGAGTTGTATTCACATTAATATGTTGGAATGAAGTTAGTTTAAGCTAATTAGTGGAATATAGAAACAGCTCACCTGATTGGTGATGAAGGTTGATCTGATTTAAAATCAAAAATAGCTAACTTTGAATTACTGCTCTTTAATGACACACAGCTGGGTTTGTGTCCAGGTTCTGGTTCTGCTGGTTTTCTGTGAATAAAAATGGTTTGGTGATGTTCATGCTGAGCTCTGACATGGAGAAGAGTCCTGGACATTTAGAGATGGTGATCTGACCTCTGAGCTTTGCTCCGATCCTCATGTTCTCCACACAGAGTGGTTTTAGAGGGAGGGACTCTGTTCTCTCTGTCCTCATACTGATCCATGCTGCTCACTTAATATCAACTCACACACATGGACCTGCAGCCAAGAACAGACAGGATGAGGATACATTTACATACCTGATTCCCACCTATAGCTGCACCTAATGCTAAATTACAAAAAAAAGTGTTTAAGAGCTCAGTTTTTAAACATAAAGTAAAGGTTGGTGTTAAATGAATGCATGGATTCCAGTTTGACTAGAAAGTCTGACTGAAGGAGCTGCATAATCCCAGAATGTAGGTCTAGATGAGTCAGACTGTTTCCTGCTGCTGCTGAAAAATTTAGCGGGTTAAATGCTGCCTTTTCCAAATATCAAACTATAAAATTTGATCATTTTTACATTTCAGTTAAAGCTGAAACAAACTGAACCTCTTTGAAAAGGGAATTTAACTAAATGTAAACTAATTTGACTTTGAAAGGATAAAAGAAGCATCAGTAAGCTGTTGTGTCTGACTTTAAAAAGGTAGGATTACAGTTTAATTAAAAACAAAGAATAAGTTAATTTAATGAATAACATAACTGAACATCAACTCTTCATCATTTTGACTCAGATATTTAATAATCTTCTACATCTTCCTTTAAACATAAAACTTATCCAACTTTGAGCTGAAATCAGAAGTTTTTTAAAGTCAAAGTTTATCTATGAAGAAAAATAAACTTACAGTTTGCTCAAACTTCCCAAAGTGCTGAAGAAACTTAACAGGTGAACCTGAGGCTGAGCTGCTTTCTGGAAGGAGTCAGAGCTTCACCTGTGATGGAGGCGGAGCCTGAAGGGAATCTCTTATGTTGCTCAGAAATATGAAGGATACCCAGAAAAACCTGTTTGCAGGAACTAAAAACAGGCTGCTTGTTGTGAGACGTGTCTGACTTTAGATGGTGATTTAATTGTCTCTCTAAGGAAAACTGTTTTAAAAGAGAGGAGGCAGAAGAGTTTCAGATGAAAGGAACATGTTTCTGAAGTTGATGTTAGAAGCTCTGCCATTAGAATGTTGGATGCAGTTTGATGTTGTTCTGCTGTAATATTCCATTCATCCATCCATTTTCTTGCACGCTTGTCCCGACTGGGGTCGTGAGGGGTGCTGGTGCCTATCTCCAGCAGTCAATGGGCCGGGTACACCCTTGACAGGTCGTCAGGCCATCGCAGAGCAACACAGAGACACACAGGACAAACAACCATTCATGCACACACTCACACTTAAGGAGAATTTAGAGAAGCCAATCAACCTAACAGTCATGTTTTTGGACTGTGGGAGGAAGCCAGACTACTCGGAGAGAACCCACACATGCTCAGGGAGAACATGTAAACTCCATGCAGAAAGACCCCGGGCCGGGAATCAAATCCAGAGCCTTCTTGCTGCAAGGCAGCAGTGTTACCCACTGTTCCACTGAGCAGCAGTTCTGCTGTAATATTCCAGCTACATTAAAATCCCTGGTTAGCTTAATTGATCATGTAAATCCCAGTGAACCCAATAGTTTGTGTAAATATGATGGCTGTTGGTCTGATTCTGGTTAAAAGAAAGACTGATCAGTTTTATTGGTAAGTTTGGTGCTGCTGGGTTGTCGATGTTTTTAGAGAGAAGTTCTGTTCCTGTTATTGATGTCTTTCAGTGGTAGAACTGGAGTTGGGTGAGTTTCTTCAATGTCGTCACCAATACAATGCATATATCAACATGATCAGCTGGATGAGAAAGAAAGAACTAATTCATGGTTTCCTTCAACTTTATTTCTAATTAATTTTCTATTGAAGTTATCCTAAAAACATCTACTGTCACTGCAGTACTAAAACATACTTGTAATATCTGAAATGTTTTCTATAAAGTAATTTAAACCAGTGACATGCTGAGAAATAATTTTGATGGGATGTTTCTTTGTTTCAGGTGAATTCACATGTTTTCTGGTTTTGAGGATTAAATCTCTCTAAACCATCAGCTCCCCCTAAACCTCCCACTGTGAGGAATCAACCAACACAGCCCCGTCGTTCAGCACCTTCACCTTCAGCACCTTCACCATGTATTCAGTCTCAGATCAGGAGCAGTTCCATTACTTTCTCAGCTCCACCTGTGGGCCGTTCAGCACATCCACTAGTTCCGGACACCAGCTCCACTCCATCTGTCAGCTGTCAGGGTGTTGATGGAAGCAGCACAGCTGATGTTTCTTTCCAGGATGACGTCACAGCCAAAGAGGAACAGACGAGGCAAAGCTACTCTGAGGAAAAGCAGAGAGAGCAGAAGGTTAGAGATTGAACTAACAGATTCTGCAGAATAGGAGATTAGAGAGAGAATGAAGCAGAAT